TCCCTGAGTTCAGCGATTGCGGCGTCGCGGAGGCGGAACCATGTTTCATCGTCGAGGGCGTCAGGGGTGTCTTCACGGTGGCGTTTTTCTGCCATGGAGGCGGTCTGCTGCTGCTGCTATGATCGGGGAGGGCTATTTGTGGAGCTGTGAGTGGCTGATCCACCATGCGCCTGGGAGTCTTGGGCGATTTTTATGGCTTGGGGAATTGATATATTATTGGGGGGTTGTCGGCATATTATCTTCAATCTCATGGTAAAATTACGGCTGTCCTAGATAGGAATAGGCCGCAGCCAGCGTTGTTGGTCGTGTCAATTGGGCGTTGCTCAACTCTTCCCCCCCATGGCGGAGTGGTGACCGCTGGGTGATCTCTCTTCGGAGGCTGCAGGTTCGACCCCTGCTGGGGGCCCCTTTTTACCCTGTCATGTTAGCATGCGCGGGCCGTATGTTACCTCAGGCACTCAGACCCACTCACTAAGCGAACAGACGCGCGGATCACGTGGTTCTGTGAGAGGGCCTGAGACCAAAACTTGGCAATTGGGTGAGATGATGCTTCGCTCCGCATACAATTTTGCGGTAACCATAATGTTTCGCAGGGTCAACTCCCAACCCTATTAAGTACATCACGTCATAAAGCCTCAATTTCAACACAAATCAATAAGATAACTATATTAGAAGGATCCCGCAAGACCGACATATCCATTAATCCAGCTTTTGTTCCCTTGCGATGTGTTATTATGGAGTTGTAGCTATCTAGGCCAGTCGCGTCGCGAAATCTCTAGCACTAGCAAGCGACCACGACCCGTTGGTACCTCATCCACGTTGGTTTAATTGACCTCCGTATTAAGAATTATTAGTATCGCGGCGTCATTCACGGGGATTAATGCTTTCAACTGGCGGCGTGGCACATTCTTAATAATACACAGTCTGTGGCCGCGGTAACGAAGCTTTCTTCCATATAAATTTAAAGTTATGGGCTCAGGCCCTCTGGGAGCCATTACTGTCAAATGTGACAGCCTGCCCACATTCCTCGAAGGGTGTCACGTGGTGACACTAGGCTCAATTAGCAAGGCGCAGAAGTCGCACCTTCCCCTTTGCGAGGCTTCGCCGAGGAACACAAAAAGAACAACAATACACACCTCGTTATATTTGACAATTACCCCTTTAGGGAAGGCGTCGCGCTGTTAAGCGCGCCCAGTGGGCCTGAGTGCCTGAGGTAAGGCCGTATGCAAGTTATATTATCACGTACGCTGGCGCACCATTGTGTTAGCCGCTTATCCATAAAGGGTAGTGGCACCTCATCGATCTGTTGTTGTGTTACGCCGCTAGGGGAGGTTTTTACTACTGAAAACGGAAGGGGTTTCCCTTACCCTCCTCCCACTCCTATGCATAAAATGCATGCCATAGGATAATAGGCATATAGCGCATTGTGTTCTAACTCGTTGTATCTTTCATCTGTTATATCGCTCCCTGGTTAGCCGGGTCGAGCCAATAAGGTAGCCTAGCTAGCAATATACCATGGAATTTCTTAAGACCGGGTAAACTATGGGCCTACCACTTTAGTATTCCCCGTAAACGAACCAAGGGTTATGTATATTCTATTTCACGTGTTAGTAAGCTTACTAAGGTCCATAGAATCATATCGAAGGTGTCAGCATCAAACCTGAGGGAAATAACTCATGGTTCCCACCCACTAGCATATTGCGGGAAGCTCCCAAAGTACTAACCTCTTTCAAAAAGCTCGTTACTGGATAGCATTTTCGAACACCATAATGGCTGATCTCGAGTCTCCACACAATCTTCAAAAACGAGGGGGAGCCGCAGATGAAGGTTCGGCTCCAGCAAGGAAACGGCCGTTATTGGCTCGTTCCACCGAGGCTAGCATCCATCTCTGCCAGCGTTGCCGTGGCATCGACTGGGCTCGACTCGCTACACCTCCGCCAGCAACAAGAAGAGGCAAGTGTGTAGCAGATCTACCCTCCATAGACCGTAAAGTTATTGGTCAATCGCCGTGTCCTATTTGCCGGTTGCTCGCCCAAGTGGTACCCAGCGATCTCGACGGCAAGCACTGTCATCTCCAAGCATTGTCGTCGTCGCTCGCAATTCTGGGCCGGGAAGTACGTGCATCCGAGCGGAAGGAGCACTCTGACTGTACAGTGCTGTTTCCTGTGCTCAAGGCCAAGTCCGACGATAAAACGGAAGGGCAACGCATCGCCAAGGATTGGCAGGACGCCGGCTGCTTAGCCCTTGTGAAGACAGGAGACCATGAAAGGCTGCTCGGCATCGGGCCGAGGCAGATATCACTGTCAGTCAACTTCAGTCTAATCAAAAGCTGGTTGGGGCATTGCACAGAACACCACGAGTCCTGCAAGATCCTCAGTGGTGGCAGCGACTATGTGCAAGGACTACGAGTCATCGACTGTAAATCGGGGAATACGATTGAGGCGCCTGCGAGTTGCAATTATCTCGCTCTGTCATACGTCTGGGGAAGATCCGCGCAGTCTCAGTCGCCAGGAGATAGTGGGAATTCAGAAAGAAGCGCGGTCAAATTCCCCAAAGTGGTCCGTGACGCTTTAGAGGTGACTCGGTCACTTAAGGAACGGTATCTATGGGTGGACCAGTTTGTAAGAAGCGACAGAAGCCCGAGTCCCGTGCTGCGAGTTCAAGTTGCTGACTAGTGGAATCAACAGTGCATTGACCAGAATGACGGGCCATTGAAAAGCGCACAAATTGCTCAGATGCATGAGATCTATTCCCGCGCGTGTTTGACGTTGGTGGCGGCGGCTGGTGAGAACTCTTCGTATGGGCTGCCGGGGATTGGAACAAAGCGACGCCTTCCCATGCAACATTTTATTATCGACAACATTGTTATTACCCAAATGCGTCCGCATCTATCAGCTCAAATATCTCGGTCGACATGGGCAGGGCGTGGTTGGACTTACCAGGAGGGCTACCTTTCTCCCAGAAGACTGATTTTCACCGATCACGAGGTTGCGTACCTCTGCAACACCATGCACTGTGCGGAGACTGTAAAGAAGCCAGAAACGCTCTCCGAATCCGAAAAGAAAGCCGACACCACCAATTTTCTCGACATAATCCCCAGCGCGTCCGGTTTACATCGGACTTTCGACGGCTTGGACAACGAGCGGTGGCATCAACTAAAGCAGAAGCAGCTACCAAACTACACAAGACGTAAATTGACCGAGTCATCAGACTCTGTCAACGCTGTTTTCGGGCTGTTTCGCACGTTGGAATCAAGCGGGATTCGACATATCCATGGAACCCCTATTCGCAGAGTCTCCCCGTTGGCCGCCTCTCACTGGGTTGAGTTTTGCCTGACCTGGCATCACGAAGTGGTCGCCAAGCGATGCCCAACATTCCCTAGCTGGAGCTGGTCCGGTTGGGTAGGTGGCATTCGTATGAGCGAGCCTGATATCCGTGATTCGGATGTTCGCGAGATTGCGTTGGTGAAGGAATACGGTGATACAATACCGTTACGAGATTGGTTCGACAATGAAATGCCATGCCCGAATTCACCGAGCACAAGTGCTTCTCAGGTGCTTCGTATCTCTGCCACGACAGTCTGGGTCTCCTTCGAGGAAAAGAGCTGGGTTGACCTGAATGAGAAGAGCAGCACCCAGAGCCAGGTTGTAGGGATGAGCTTCATTGATGGAACACACGCGGTCCTCCCAATCCGTGAAGATATCACGGCTTTGCCCTACGCGTACATGGACGAAAACGTATCGTTGGATGGTGGAGCTTTGGGACTCATTCTCCAAAGAAAGTGCCAGAAATGGAGGTATACTATCCTCCTTTTAAAGCAGAATGGGGATCACTATCAGCGGATCGGTCTTGTCAGGGTCTCGAGTTGGAACAAGACTCGTGCAGCGGCGATTGGAAACTCTGATCCGCCAATGGTCTATGTGAACAGCGAGGGTATACCCGTGGATGAGTTTACAAGAAGCGATGAAACCCCTCTCTGGCTACAAGGAGCTACCGAGGAGACGATTACAATTTCATAGTCAGACTTTAAGGCCTTATTACTCTACATGCCGAGCCTGGACTGTCGCGACATGTGGAGTTGACAGCCAGTCTTCCAAGTTGAAGTGGAGGGATGCGCACCAGAAAGGAAATCTCAGGCTAAATAAACCTCGGATGTTTTCTTGTCCCCAAGGCGCCACTAATTGCCCCGCGAGCATACCAGGGCGAATAGCGCGCTCGTGCTGGACAGAACACGAACTGGTTCCTGATCTGCATGCAGGCCAACGAATCAGCTTAGCCTAGGAACCGTTGTGCCAAGTTCAGGGGCGTGACCATCGGACTCGGGAGGCGGGGTAATCGCGGCCCGAGTTAAATCGTTCAATTCACAATGGGGATATGATTTTGGGTTGCCAAAATAAGGCCATTCAATTGATCAACTGATCTCTGTTGTGCCAGTTGATGATGATGTGATGCTGTCCTTCTTCTTCCCGTCTTCAGGCGGGGCTCTCCAGTTTTCCCCTCATTTTAGGTCACATGACAGGCCTCCAACCTCATCCGTCTGACAAGATGCCCTAACAGGGACATGCCAAACTTATTCACAGGTCAACAGGCCACTCGCTTCCTTGCGCCACGCGCATCCCACATCGCGGCGGTGGTTGTCAGCTTCTGGCCCGCTCTGCCTCTCTCCTGACATTGCCGTTATCACAAGCTATCGTCATGGGATTCAGAGCCAAAACAATAGTATAAAATGTTTCTCTTATATCTCTTCTATACCAATAGGACTGCTCTGCTCGGGCCCAGTTGACGGGCTTCCTACACACAGCTCTAGATCATTTCCCCGCCCCCGTTCCTTTCCCGACGTGGAAAATTTTAGATCGGTCCTCTCATCTGCAACATCTGCAGCGGTCACGAGCACTGGCAGCGGGAAGCTTTCGTTCTATCGTGCTCTGTCAGTGGCAATCCGCCTGTCATTTAGGCACGTGCTGACCTTTTCCTTGTCCGATAACGGCAAAGCCTTCTCAGTAGACTTAAACTCATATTTCTCGCCTCTCCGACGTATGCATATATATACTTCAGCATCATAAGTCTGATGGATATTGAGGCCGTTCTTCTTGAGAGTGCTCCATTTCTTCTTAAAGTTCTCATTACTTCGGTCTCTTTTAGCCCCCTGGGTGTGCTTACCAACTGCCATTGTGAAAGGTCGACGAGGCAAGGACAGTAGCATGGCCTGCGGGCGGGGTATAAATAATCAGTTCCTCTCGTTGTCACCAATTTTAGTAGATATTATGTTGGTGTTGTTAGTTTATCGTTTTGTGTATCCAGGGACCTGTTTTGGTCCCTCCTTGAGCTGCACTTGGTTAGCGGAGTGGGCTGGGATCGTGCAGTTTTCCGGTCCCCTGTAAAGACGTCGCATGTGAATCACCCCAC